AACAACCAATTGCAGCAATAAACAACTGTATTCTCGAATAATTTAGATAAAACAACGTAGATACGAATCTAAATATTTGGTCAGATTGTTATCAAGGTCTCACCTTATGTAAGAACCTCGTTATATTTCTCTGACGACTTTAAAGGCTAACGGGATAGCTAAGAATGCTGGCCAAGTTTGTAATGGCTTTTAAAATTAATTTTTAATGTAATTTTCATACACACTTTCAGACTGTGGAATTGCGATCATAGAAAAATAAATATGTAAAAGCTATAAACGGCTTTTCCAATTCCAATCCGGTTTGAACCTGTCTACTACGCCAGAGGTCACGGGTTCCATGTTCACATTTGGGTGCATGAATATATTTTGTAAAAAAAACTTATTCCAACACATAAACCTACTACACAATGGAGAATTTCCTAAACAGATGTATAAGCTTATCCTAAAAACATAACTTTAAAATCCGTCACGCATAAATGTTTATAAAAGGTATGTACCTACATAATTTTCCTTTTACTCTCCCTTCCGGAACATGCAACGTTGTAATAAATACAGACATCACTAGTTCGCTGTAATTTGTTAAAGTGAAATTAAATGTTAGTATTTTTTACTTTGGGAGAAAATGTGTAAGCTATCGCAAGTTTAGCAAGGTTGAAAATTAATTCGCTACAACACCCGATACTTTATAGTAAAAAGATTCAGTAGGTTCACTGATATTATTATTCAAATTAAAATAAAAAAATGCATTTTCAGAATAAAGTTAGTCAAAAATGACGAGTACACTGTATAAAAATCAATAAAATTTGTCAACAAAATTGACATTTATTTCGATGCTATGGTAAAGGTGAATGACCAACAATACATGGAGTTTCGTCCAAATGTCCACCATTAACGAGACCTATGTAATAAAAAGTAATGTAATAAAATATTTTAAATACCATGTATGTACGCGTGTTTGTCTTATAGATGTCGCGTTAACAGAACATGTTATAGATCCTACAACACGCTTAATTACGCCCTTAAATCTTAATACAATGAAAATGGTAACAAAATCTAAGTCTACTGAATTCATATTTATAGTGGCCATCCTCACTGATGACCGAGAATGATAAGTTCACAAAAACAGGAGTAACGATCGTTATATTGTCCATGTATGTCCATGTTCCTCAAACGATGCACATACCTATGTATCAGCAGAAAGTTTTACTACATTGGCATAATCCGTTTATGTAACTAATATCCATCGCTGCCGTTTTGTATTTCAATCACGTAAAATTTATGTATTTTCTATTTCGATACACACAATTTGCTGGGTAAAGAAAAACGTTTAAAATGTGATTTATTAGTCATACATAAATAAACACTCGATGTTTTTGTTGGGGTACGTTATTCCATAAAATGAGTTTAAGTAACTTACGATTAGAATTTTAATCTTGTAAGCATTAGACGATTTAAGGCCTGGGTAATACTGCATACGAAATCACAGCACGTAAAAACACCTAACGGATGTGACACTCCCATCAGCGCGCATGCCACACTACACGACAAGTCTGATCAACAACGGAAAATCAATCTTAAAACTACACTATTAAAGTCCATGAACGTGTCATTAGGTAAGTCAGTGTGGTGAATTGTGGAAAACGCGTAAACCAATGATAAATTTGTTTAGGCGATACAATCTTGGCAGTGGGTGGGACTTCGTTTGTCTTTTATACGGTGGAAGTTTCGCGATTTTCTTCGGGAAAATGTTAATTCAAAATTGAGTTTGTTTGTATCAAAATTTAATAGCCAGGTAAAGTAAAATGTGTTTGTATTGTTTTTCAATATAAAATAGTCGAGTGAAACAGCTTTGAGCAGTGTTATCCCTAAAAAGATCGCTTCCAAATTGTTTGCAACCAAATTTTTCAGGTTTCTCAACTCGAAGTCTGGTATTTCGTAACACAATGCTGCAGGAAGCGAAAACTACTCATGGATGTCTTTAGGCGCCGGGGATTCACTCGATTACCATTGTGTACAGACGACGGCACATCAGGGTGTTAATTTTTGTTGCAAAAGAGCATCAATTCTAACTGCATAAGATGCTGCTGTGCTTAGCAAGATGTGCCATCTACTATTCGGTTTAGGAGCAAAATGACAAACTTGATTGTAATAATTAAAGATACACTGTACCTAGGAATTGCTTAAAATTACTCACCTATTTCAGCGCCAAATCATCAGACACACTATTTACCGTTATATACCGCCGTCTGTACACTGCAATCTGTGGCAGAAGAAGAAAAACTTGTTGAAAAAACAATCATACTTTTTCCCGAACAAAAGTACTACTACATTTAAACTAAATGTTTAGCGAATCATTTATCATTTCGCTTCACTTTCGCTCACCACTTCCTTGTAATTACAGGAAGATTCAGATGATTATCGGCAAAACTATCGTTTCCGTCTCAAGGCTAGGATTCAGATTAAATTGTTTCGAAAACGTAGTTCTGTCACAGTGTAACAACTGGTACGGTTGTTTACCAAAAATTATTTAACATATCTTTGTTAACTTATAGGTTATGTTTCTTACCATTGCACTTTTGCAAATAGTATCTATTACAACTACATGATACATGTGTAGTTACTTTTAAATGCCGTAAACTTCAAACCCACAACTTCACAAGAACTCACATAGATCTTTCCAACTATCACTATCAAACAACATGTTTATCACTTCTTTAATTATTGATTTCCATATTGACAAACCACCTGAATTGTCCTAGCGGTAATACCATGATCTAGGTTAGTTTGCTCCACAGATAGATGTAACAGTCACAAAAACTATGGACTTAAGCGTTAACCAACAAAGGTTTTGGTAACCAAATAAGGTGTTTATAATAAATGTCACCGAACTCTGCAAACAAATGATTTTTTAAACTAAGTATTTCATTTGTTTTTTAAATCACAACTGACGGCAAACGCGGGTACTTTTGTACAAATTTAAAGTTTGACAGCTCATAAAAAGTATCTCAATTAACTAGTGGCACAGAGCCCCGATTACGGTAACTTTTAACGTTTCCTATCCAGACGCGCTTCTGATTCTGCGATACGATTGGTCAAAACAGCTGACGTACGCTGTTGAACGACCAATCGTATCGCAGAATCGAGAAGCGTGTCTGGATTGTAGACGTTAAAAATTACCGTAATCGGGGCTCAGTGGGTCTAGACAAAGTGCACATTTTAATCGCAAACCAGTCGAAAAGTGGTCGATAAGCCTTTTTTTTGTATGGAGTTTTGACGGATTCGATTTTCGATTCGATCAAAAAGTGCACTTTGTCTAGACCCACAGGGGTGTCATGCCTTTTTTTTTTAATAATGATGTTTCACGGCTCTGGGTAGTAATGGTATCATCCTTGTAAACCACAGATTATCTAACACAGTTAACCACTGGATGGATGAACACTGTGGTACTAGCGAACTCGTGTTACGTGAAAGCAGGCAGAATACCCTGCAGCTATACCACGAAAAGGTTACGTTTCTAGGTTTTACATTTAACTCGATTGCTGCTATGGAATCGCTTCCGTTGTTAAGTATGATGATCTCAAAATATCTTTGTTACGAAAATTATAACTTCCTGCTAAAATGTTATTTCCATAATTTGAAATGACATTTTAATTTCAGTCGTGATGTGTTTTATAGAAAGTTTGATAGTAGAAATTGTAATTTAATTTGCTTTGAAAATTGTGAAAAATTTTCAGTGGCAGCATTCAGTGTTACAAGCATCATTCAGTTTAAGTTTTTTAATCTACATTGATATGGCTGAGAATTGCCCCATGCCTACACCCTCAATAAATTAAATCTAACCGGAAAAGAAACCCAAATACTTTTGTACAACTCTTCAAAATCAAGTTGGAGACCCTAGCTGTAACATACCTCATTACCACAGTTTTCTATCACATTCTATCCGCGCATACCCATAGTACACAAACCAGCACGTCAGACGTTACAAATCAACTTTTAGACAGCCCTTATTGCATACAACACATGATCTACTTTCGCAGTGCAACTGTTAAACACGATGACTGCACTCCACTTTTACCCTATACACTAGCAAGCACATTAATCCGTCACGCATCGATCGGCCAGTGGAAACGCGAAAGTCTACAATCTCCGGCACATCAACCTATACATTTTTGTTGAAAAACAGTACTTATTACCACTGCGTAAGAAACGTCAGTAGTTAACTTGACATGCTAGTGTGTAAAGTGACGCCATAAATCATTGGAGGTAACGAGCCATACCGACGCCATTGCCGTCCCCCCAGAGGAGTGGTGGCAGTCTCCTCCTATTGACGCCTCTTTGCCACCTCTACGGTTTTCTATTAACGGTGAACGCACACCTGTCCGCAACGCATAGCACGCGCACGCGCCGCTGTCATAGATTTTCATAATAAATCGTATGGATGCGAATCTGACACATAGAAAGAAATGACTAAGGCTGAGTTGCACCACCTTATTTTAACCGTAACAATAACCGGTACTTTTTGTATGGAGTTTGACAGATTTTTGACGCTTGTCAAAGTTAAAGTAACATGATTTAACTCAGCCTAAGATTATCTCAGCGCGAATAGGTAAAAAAATATCTGAATACCAGGTATTCACCATTTTTATCCCCCATTACAAGTTGCATTTATATGGTGAACCCACTCATAAACATAAGCTAAATGCTTTGGGAAACCTGGAGGAGGTAATAACACAGACATTAAATTAAGATACTGACACTCATTAGACCAGTAAAAAAAATGATTTCTTTTCGCTGAAAAGTCAATCAACTGACAAAATTATTCAGATTCTAACCATCATAAAAACTACAATATCTTTGCTTAAATTATTAAAAAAAAAGTCACGAGATATTAAAGCTGGTGTGGGTAGATTCAAATTAAAAGTGACGTAGTGAAGGAATACCAATATCAATTAAAATCTATATCAATTCTATTTTAACAATATTAGAATAATTTAAGATAATAAGATGGAAAGAATAGCGCTTAGAAAAAAAATTGTAAGTAGACTTATTGACTTATAACTACTTTTTTATGTTTATGTCGAGTAAAATTTACGTTGTATTGTTTTTGAACTATTTTTGCCTTAATGGCTATAATTACAGAAGTAGAAAACGAACGTAAACATGCTTGCTTTAATAATTTTAGTATTTTATTTATTTTTATTTTACAAGGAAAACAATACAGTGTAAAAACTATTTAGAACCTAATTAAAACGCCGATGGATAAAAACATCATCAACAATGCAGTATCAAATCAGATATTAAATTAGTTATAAAAATCCTCGTTCCCACTCAGCTCATTGCAATTAAACTTGATTCGCTACGATTTAATCCATAATCATTGGAACCGCAGTTCGATGCTGTAATTTCGTAGAATTACACACTTAACAAATCGCTACCAATACATTTCATATTAGTTAAGCAATCATTATGCGATCTGGACCGTAGAAATAAGTGGTAAGGACGATTCACATGGTCAGATTTTCTACATCTGATATTAGACGTTATATTAATAACCTAAAGAATAAGATAAAAGTAAACTAAGGTAAATTATATTTTTTACTGTGATTGAAATGTAAATTGAAAATGTACTTTTGTAATAGGTATGGTACCTATCTTAAATATTGAGAAAGTTACTAATTCTAACATTAAGTACTATACAAATTAAAACTTATCGTTCAATTCGTTTTTATTAATTATTAGTGCAAAATATGTTCAATTAATTTTCACTTTCAGTGCTCCATTTAAACATCAAACTCTGAACCCGGTCCAAAGCGACCCACTCCAAAACCATACTGCATCAACAACCACATAACAGATGACCATTTCTAAACATCTTAATGTACTTCATAATTACCTCAAACCTACTAAACGGCTGGTATAAATCTTCCCTTTTCTGCGCGAATCCCACACACGGGTCGAATAAATTAATTTAGCTGATTTAGCTATCTGCCCACGCACAACAACTGGGCTCAGACACTGACCAATGTACTGGGTAATTAATATTGCACTCACTTTTTGAACAGTGGTCCTTGTTTAGCCGCTGGCATGTCAGACTATACATTTTTGAGGCAATATAGCCCGTATTACAACGATGTTAAATGTTACAATACTTACAATGCCTAGTATACGAGTAATGTGCCGACTACATTACAACTTAAGTGGCATAATGTTTCAATTATAAATGTGCAATAAAAAAACAACAGTTAATTAATACATGATCCGTTTTCACTTGTTATTTTAACTCGTGTTAGTTTAGCAATCTTCGTATTGTAATCGTTTTTGAAGTTAAAATCAAAACTGAAAAAACATACAACAATGTTAAATTAAAATAAAGGAAGATAATAATTTTACTTATTTCAGTTTAGTTATACTTTAATAAAAAATAATTAAAAGAATGAAACCGTAAACTTATTATTTACGTTTTATTTTAGTAACATTGGTAAACCAAACAAATAAATAAATAAATTATCTTTCTATGACGTGTCTACGACAATTTAAAATTCACGCAATTAGGTATGTACCCTAGACACTAGATATGGAACTAGACTCTTTTCTGCGAAATTTACTTCATTATCTAAGAATGTTAACTCAAAGGAATATACATGATGCCCTCGTTGGGGTAAATTAATAAACAGGATTAATGTGTTTTAATGGATGTGTCTTTTTGTCTGTCTATTGCCATTAGTTGCATACATCGGGAAGGTTCCATATTAATGATGGACATTGATCTTAGTTTCTGAGAAATTGTTATGGCAGCGTTCCAAGAAATCCAACGGTGGTAGCTAGAAGGAGCGTTTGCTAGAAACGAGGGTGAAATTTTCCTAGAAATTTGTCGGTTGTTATGGTGAATAGGTGGTGTTATTCAGGGTATTGGTTAATTAGGCTGGTGGTATTGGTGACAAAAAGCGTGGTGTTTCAGTCCAACGGGCAGCGGCCGCGGCTCGACCGATTCGTAGCACCGCGGGCCTCGTTCCAAGAAATGCGCCGGCGACTCTCCTGGGCAGCTAGCTGTGATCACCAGTCCGTTGACATTTGGGTAACCAGACGCTGGATAATTTATGCCGTGTTAGTTATTGAGTGTGGGAATAATAAACAATGTTTTGTTGACATGCCGTTTAAAGCTGAATGGTTGGTAAAACATTACACAGTGCGAGCTTGAAAACGAAACAAAAACGACATTACTTTTTTGCAAACAAAAGCAATTGATACTAATGATCAAAAACAACTTTTAACTCTCACAGCTGACCATAATCCACCGATTTTTTACAGAGATTAATCTTTTTATGATATTGATATTTAACGCGCCATTGAGATTTGTTTCAGAATCGTATCTATATATATAAAAATGAAACCCGTTTCGCGTTGTCACGGCATCACGTGTGAACGGCTGAACCGATTTCGATAATTCTTTTTTTTAAATGTTTGTGGAAGTCCAAGGATGGTTCTTACGGAAAAAAATATTAAGAAAATCTCTACGCTAAGGCGGTACGAAGTTCGCCGGGTCAGCTAGTTTTCTATAATAATAGAAATCCATTTGAGCAGAGCTGCAGCGGACAAAAACTAGTTCCGACTTAATCTTACTTATGAGACAAAACTCAAATCATAAATTATTCAAAATTTCAGTACAAAAAGCACCTTCAGCAAAAGAACTACACAAGCTACCTGGACGAGGCTTTCGGCCTGGAGCCCCTGGGAAGCCCGGGCTGCCGCGAGCCTCAGGACGAGGTGCAGACCTGGCCCTGTGTGCCGAGGAAGCAGCGGTACCTGTCGTCTGCTGACAGCATCCTGGACTTGCCTACTTATAGCCTTGCTGCTTGTAAGTGTCAAACTTTTTATTTAATAACTAGCTGACCCAGCAAACATCATAAAGGTAGCAGGAAGGCGCTGGACGCAGGCCACTACCAACCGGGCAACATGGAAAGCATTAGGGGAGGCCTATGTTCAGCAGTGGGCGTCCTATGGCTGAGATGATGATGATGATGATGATGACCCACCAAACGTTGTTTTGCACCTATGGGTGTGAACCGATTTACCTGTATATTCACATAAGAATCGGTCAATCCGTTGCTTGAGAGAATCTTTAAAAAAGGGCACACTAAAAGTCTACATGGTTTCCTACTAAGGCCGGCCCAAAAAGGGCCAATGCAATCCGAAATAAGACCTCTCCTTCTTCCTTTATTATTTACTCGTACATAGCTTAGAAAACTTTATCTATATTTTTCTTAATAAATCAATCGAAGTTAAGATAGTTAAACTCACAACTGTACCCAAAAATCATTCTTGATTAATTACATGAAAACAGTAATAATAAACTCGAAGAAACATTCTTTAAAGAAAAGTCACAACATTTTTACAAAATTAATTTACACACGCGCAAAAAATGCCCGTATCTGACAATGTTAAACGATTACCCCTAATATTGTGCCCTTTTTATAACCTTTTCAAACGTAGCCTTTCTGCAGTTCAATTTGTCCTCATTTAATTGTCGTATCTTTAACTTTACTTTAGCATTTAACTCCGAAATTCTACAGTTATCGGGCTCGGGTAGCTGAACAGGCGAACATTCGGCGTATCGTGACAAGATTATCAGATAAAACGTATGTTCGCGGCGTGAAAGTCGTTGTCGGCAGTGCTTTATCGGCAGGACTAGTCTCGTATTGATAAGAGGGATCAAGTTTTGAGAAATATACCTACATAGGTACTACGATTTCGTTGTTCGAAAAAGGCAACAATGTTAGTTATAGTTTTAAGAGTCAAGTAAACTCCTATAATTTTTTCTTTTCATGCGTGTTCAACTAGGATGTACCTGAGACAATCTGTAGATAATAATCTTGACGTTCATTTGAAAATACATTTATGATGTTTTAATGATAAGAGTCAGCGGGACAATCCATCCCAATAAGAGTTCATGCACTGACAAATTAATAAGGCTAAGTTTTCAGCTGATATGACGCTCCAAAGTATGAAGATGGAGTAAGTAATATTCTGAAAATGTCATAATTACTGCTAAAGAATTTAAACATGCATCTACTATCCAAAGCTTGTGATGGCTTTATAAATACGTGCTGTAACTACCTAACGCATTGTATTCTTGTTGTTTTCGTTGATTGGTGCTCGAAACAAAAGTAGGTTATGTATTTGTAGAAATGTATTGTGCAATTGATTGAGGGTGGTCCAAATAACTGGGAGAGGCTTGACAATGATAAGATCATTTTTTTTTGTAACTGTCATACCATACAAGTGCTATCTATAAAACCGGACAACGTTCAACTGTGGTTAAACGCAACAAGGCAAGGTTTTTCTTTAGAAGCGTTCAATATACACATGAAAAATATTATACATCTGACTCAATCACGCATCCATTATCTAAAAAGAAACACAAAACTTAACCCTTGAACCGTCCAACAATCCCTTCATCATCATCATCATTTCAGCCATAGGTCGTCCACTGCTGAACATGGGCCTCCCCCAATGCTTTCGACGTTGATCGATCCCTTATTCATGATATTTAAAATTCTCATGATGTTCCCTAGTTCCAGAACTGCTGGACTGGAGTAACGACAACATCCTGGTGGCGGCTCTAGGCATGAACTACCACAAATGGAGCTGGCGGACGCAGAGCCTCATCAACAAGGGCTTCGCGCGGAACGAGATACAGTGCTGCAAGTTCGACCCCAGGGGAGAGATGCTCATTGTAAGTTCAGGTCAAACGTCAACGTCTAATTTATTTTGGGCAATAGTTTGACCACATGACTTGCACCAGCATGAATTTCTAGCCTACCAGGGACTGTCCTCTAAATTTTAAACTAAATTCTGTTTGCATTTTTGTGGTCGAGAGTTACGAGTAACTACTCTCGCAAGCACTATTTATTCTTCTTTCAAAATCAAACCTTTCTTCTTCTTCATTCGTGTCAATGGAAATAGTAATATTGTCAAGTAAATATAATAACATTCCCCGTGGAGGGAAACCAGGGAGGACCTTTGTAAAAGCGTTGGGTGAGAAAGATAATTTCTTAGTAGGTGACCTATCACAAATGCGTAATTTGCTTGCTTATTCCTTGCTAAATCTTTTCATCAAACATCCTTCATAAGAATGAAGTTGTTCCTCACCTCCCAAGTGTTCTTCCAGTTAGGAACGGACATGAAGATGGTGGAAGTCCACAACAACTTGTTGAGCAAGTGGGTGGCCGGCAGCTACTGCCGCTGCCTCGACGTCGACGACGTGGACTGCTCCATCACCGCGCTGGACTGGAGCCCCACTGGGAACTCTTTTATAACGTAAGTTGATTTAAGGTACAGCCAAACCAGCGCGTACAGCCAGTACGTGCGCGATGGCGACCATATGTGACGTATGAATTTGTAGCAATGAGTTCACCTTACCACATTAACGCATCCTGTCATTGGTCGCAGTGATCTATGTACGCGCAGTGATCGCCATCACCGGACGCATTGGTTTAGCTGAATCTTTAATATTCTTCACTTCAATAACTTCAGTGGGCACACTAGGAGTTAAGTTTCTGATTTGGAAATAAAAAATTCAAATCATCTGATGAAATCAAAACTAACACTTTTAGCAGCTGTTCATTGTAGAATAATGGTCTCTTTCTACTGCAAACCTCTTATTGCAATTGGTGGATGGATAGCATTGGTTCCGGTAATATTTTTAATAATCGTGCAGGACAAGTCTGTCAGCCGTAACACGTAGTGTGGGCAGGCGCAGGACCGGTCTTTGTGGAGATCCTTGGGGGAGGCCTTTGTCCAGCAGTAGACATCATTCGGCTGAAATGACAGTTAAACTTCGTCGTTTCGATATTAAATCTTCTGCTGCTTCCAGCGGCTGCTCCCGAGGCATGCTGGTGACCTTCGACCGCAACGCCCGACTGATCAGCTGGCGGCGCGTCATCCACTCCGCCGTACTGGTGGTGCGAGTGTCGCCCGACGCGCGGTACGTGGCCGTGGCCGCGGTCAACGCGACTATTGTACTGGTGCTGTCCTGGCCAGGACTTGAGCTGACCTCCAGCCTTAACTCTGAGTGGACTGTTAAGGTGAGTCATCACGGTCTTCATAAAAGCGGATCAGCCGCAGTGCTAGTGGTGCGTGCGAGTGTCACCCGACACGCAATACTTGGCCATGGCTGAGGTCAACGTAACCCTAGTACTGGTGCTGACATGGCCAGGACTCAAGCTGGCCTCCAGCCTAACTCTGAGTGGACTATCAAGGTGAGCCATTAAAGCGGATCAATTAAGTTTTCTCCCCTCAGCCAATTTTGTCTCAAGTTTTCATGCTGTTTTTGGGACGCCCTGTATGTAAAGGGTATAAATAAATCTTAAAATTATGATTCTTACAGACACTGACGTGGCATCCATGGCGCAGTGCGCTACTAGGCATCGGCGCCGTGACAACATCCCTGCAGTCCCGTATCGCCTTCTGGGATGCAGCATCCGCCAAGGTCCGGGAGACGAACCTGGGCCGCAGCCACTACAGCCTGGACTGCATGCTGTTCAGCCACCGGACCGGCGAGATGGTGCTGAGTTTGTGGAACGCAGGTACGTAAAGATAGATAACAGATTTTATTGTTTGCGATGTGGCGACATCCATCGACGCGTCACTACAAACTAGTTGTAGTCATCAGTCATCACCCAAATATGGTGCCGACACATCATAATGGTGCCGACACATCATAATGACTGGCATACGCTACCGCGTCTACATACCTGCATTGCGATATCAGAATTTTCACCCCTAACATGTATAGGAAAATCGAGATGGTATTACCTTGGTCCCAAGGAAGCAATTCCACCTTAGCTTCCTTATTGTGGTTGATCCTCGAATCCCACAGAGATTTCGGTGGCCTGACATGCTCGTTACGTTAAGTTACGTAAATAGTTGTAGAATTAGCATATTTAGTTCGTAAACCCTCTGTGGGACCGTCCTGTATAACAGTGATGGTCATAAATTAAAGAGCTTTACAATGTGTTACAAAGACTCAGACAAAAGACTGCCGCAGGCGCGCACTGCAACCAGTCAAGAAAAGGTCGTTTTCTAAACTGATCCAATCTGGGGTCCATCCCCGTTGACCCCCGACGATGCATAATGCTGACATAACTACGTCTTCCTGTCATATTAATTGAGCGACTCACAGTGTGACTATATCCTCGCGATGATGCACAGTGGCTACATATTTGTACATATTAAGTACCTACGCTTTTTAAAAACCAAAGGCTACAAATGTAATCCTTGATACTTTACTGTCAACCATCAATTAAGGTACTGTCAAAGTAGTAGAAGTTAACGTTAAGTTGCATGCTTGTTGCAGACCCAGCAGCGGCTTACCAGAAGACCTGTTCACACCTGGTGGTGATGAGCGACCCGGAGACGGTGGTGGACCACTGGGGCGAGGGCCGCAGCGGGCTGGACCGCGTGCGGACCATGATCTTCAGTCCCGACGGGACCAAGCTTGGTGAGCTTCACACTTTATGTACCACAAGACCTGGTCACACCTGGTGGTGATGAGCGACCCGGAGACGGTGGTGGACCACTGGGGCGAGGGCCGCAGCGGGCTGGACCGCGTGCGGACCATGATCTTCAGCCCCGACGGGACCAAGCTTGGTGAGCTTCACACTTTATGTACCACAAGACCTGTTCACACCTGGTGGTGGTGAGCGACCCGGAGACGGTGGTGGACCACTGGGGCGAGGGCCGCAGCGGGCTGGACCGCGTGCGGACCATGATCTTCAGCCCCGACGGGACCAAGCTTGGTGAGCTTCACACTTTATGTACCACAAGACCTGTTCACACCTGGTGGTGGTGAGCGACCCGGAGACGGTGGTGGACCACTGGGGCGAGGGCCGCAGCGGGCTGGACCGCGTGCGGACCATGATCTTCAGCCCCGACGGGACCAAGCTTGGTGAGCTTCACACTTTATGTACCACAAGACCTGTTCACACCTGGTGGTGGTGAGCGACCCGGAGACGGTGGTGGACCACTGGGGCGAGGGCCGCAGCGGGCTGGACCGCGTGCGGACCATGATCTTCAGCCCCGACGGGACCAAGCTTGGTGAGCTTCACACTTTATGTACCACAAGACCTGTTCACACCTGGTGGTGGTGAGCGACCCGGAGACGGTGGTGGACCACTGGGGCGAGGGCCGCAGCGGGCTGGACCGCGTGCGGACCATGATCTTCAGCCCCGACGGGACCAAGCTTGGTGAGCTTCACACTTTATGTACCACAAGACCTGTTCACACCTGGTGGTGGTGAGCGACCCGGAGACGGTGGTGGACCACTGGGGCGAGGGCCGCAGCGGGCTGGATCGCGTGCGGACCATGATCTTCAGCCCCGACGGGACTAAGCTTGGTGAGCTGTGAACACTTTATGTACCACAAAACCTGTTCACACCTGGTGGTGACGAGCGACCCGGAGACGGTGATAGACCACTGGGGCGAGGGCCGCAGCGGGCTGGACCGCGTGCGGACCATAATCTTCAGCCCCAACAGGACCAGGCTTGGTGAGCTGTGAATACCTTAAGGGCGTAGTGTGAGTTTACGCCAAACGCATTCGACATCGACTGCGTCATTCTTTGAGGTGACGTAAGTCCCTGGCACAAGCTGAATACGACAAACTGAAGTCGGACTTGTATTAAAGGAGGTCTATATCCAATAATGGACTGCTAAAGGCTAATGATAATGATGACTAAGGCTGAGTTGCACGACCTAATTTTGACCGTAACTATAACGATAACCAGTGTTTTTTGTATGGAGTTTGACAGATTTTTGACGTTTGGCAAAGTTAAAGTAAGATGGTGCAACCCAGCCTTACAATTTGATTTTCAGCAAAATATGACAATTTAAAACGCATAATATTCTGCCGCCTTTGTACTAGTGGTAGACATAGTATAGCAGTAAACAAAATTAAATTTTATTTAAATTATTTTGTTTCAAATCGGCTTCTTGCTTTATATTAAAACCATACCTTCTTTAAAACAGCAACGGCCACAGCAGACGAAGACCTGATCATCTGGAACTTCTTGCCAGAAGATCCGCGCAAAAAAAAGACAAACTGCAGACAGTTCTCTGCTATGCCAGTGTACCTGGACAAGGCTATGTATGGCTACTCGCTTAGGTGAAACATAAACATTTAATCATTCATAATTTATTCATTTAATTTTTAGTGTAGACTGAGCGATGTTTAGATTTTTAGTATTTGCAATTATATTTCGTATGAAAACTTAATTTATATTTCAATCACATTTTATAGTCTTGTAATTCACAAATCGCTTAGTCTACACTTTTAATGTGTAATCAACTCAATAAACAATAAATTTTATTCATATTTTATTATGCTGGATGTGCAAATGTTATTATGTGTTAGGATTATAATTATCATCATTGAAATGTATGTTTTATTAACACTCCCACTAAAATTTACTGCCGAAGTCTTCAGATCTGCGGCATGTGAATAACTTTTAATCAATTTTTTAAATTTAATATTTTGTTTTGCAATTCCATTCTCATTGGATATAACATACTTGCCCACTATAAACATTACGTTTAAGCGCAAATCTATTAGCCACTTGCTTAAATATAGCAGCCCAGCCAAACACATAATTGGTAGTTCAGGAATCATTTCACTGAGTTACCAAAGTAGAATGCACTTGTCTAACAATAATAATCTCTGATGGCGCCTTAAGTACCTACGTCCCTTATGTACCTACGTCGCCACACATGTCCACAGACGAACAAAGGCTCTATTGAGACATAGAAAGAAGATTTTCAAATACCAGACCGTCGCATTACGTTCGTCTAGTAGCTAGTGGGTTAGGCGGTACCTATTTTCACTCATGGAGCCTTAATTTTCGCGCTACGTCCCTGTTGCTAACTCCAGCTAGTTAATTTTCTAAACTATATCGGCTACCTACCTTAATAATAAATAAATTACTTATTAGATTGACCGATATTAATCTACTTAGCTGACCCGATTGCACACGCGGTGCGTGCTCACCTTTAACACGGCTGAATCACAATCCAAATATTTTCTCGTTTAATATAATAACATACCAATTGCTTGTTTCTAACCGGGGCATTCTTGATAGTTTACCGGGAGAACTTACCGGGAGAATTTAGTCACAAGAAAATGTAGTACATTTATGGGAAATTCATACACTTATGCTGTCAGGAAAATTGTTCAAGTTACAAAATATGATCTAGGTAGGTAATTAATAAATGTCACAAGGATCGTTCCGATCGTTTGCTTCAGTCTTTGTTTAAAAAACATTAATTATTGTAGCTACTAATGTACTTAATGGTCTGGGTGTGACTATGTATAATATTTATGTATTTAAAAAAAAAAAAGTATATAAGTAGTATATCCGTTAAGCTAGCACCCATAACACAAGCATTAAGTTGCTTACTTTGGGGCTAGCTGGCGCTGTGTGAAATTGTCCAAAGATTTATTATTATTTATTATTATTAATGGTTATTAAATGCATGCTATCGAAATATCTTTTCTAAAAATGTTAAGTATATTGGTCGTTACTTTCAAACCCCATGGTCATAAAATGAACGATTTGGCTTTTTAAAATTAACTTGCTAAAAACAAAGTATAAATAAATTGTATCCTGGTATTCAGTTACACCCAGACAGTCAGATCCAACGCATATTTTACCGTACCGAGCTTGGAAGCAAACCTGGCAATAGTTTAGTTTTTACAAGAGATCAATGCAAGCAATAAATAAAATTATACACTGGCCGTGGAACACTCAATGTATCGTGGTCTTCCAGCGAGTGGGACACAATGAGTGAATAAATTACGCGTCGACGCATCGACGACTCAATGAAAGCCCGTGGGAATCGCCTGTGTTTTGATTATCTGGACAGATATATAAAATGTTAATGTCTGTGTTTGATGTTTACTGATCGGGTGGTTGTTGGGAATACTTGGCCAAAATAAATAAATTTCTCTCGACATTCCAAACTAAGCAGAACTTATTAAATAGGTACTCCGTACTCGTATAAAGGATATATGCATGCATATGCATGCTTATATCATCGGGATTTTAATTCACATTTCTTGAATTTTAAGCATTTTGAATTTAACACACTTGAAATGTCGAAAAATAAACTACTTATTAGGTTTGAAAATTATAAATAACTTGAAAAAATCGAACTGCCTAAGGGGGAATTGAACCCACGACCTTCCGCTTGCCGGGCGACTGCTCTTCGTGGGTTCAATTCCCGCCTTAGGCAGTTCGATTTTTTCAAGTTATTTATAATTTTCAAATTAGTTTGAGATGCGACTCTTAACGCTAAAAATTTAATAACTATACTTATTAGGTTACCTGTAATAAGTGGATTTAAAATTTGATTGACTTGAAGCACAATCGTTTCTATGTCGCTTTAAAGCTCACATAACAACATGCATAAATAATGCATAAAATAACCAAACCACTTCGTAGTCCTATAATGGGGTCGCACAAAATATTATCAATCGCTAATAACACGTACAGAATGCCGTCTAAATTGCACAGCGTAAACGGTGTTTAGTGGCTGGTAATCCTCTTTGTCTCCAGTTCGATTTCCGATGGATTCGGCCTTCGGTTTTATGGCCTCAAATTGTGGAGTTTGCTATTGGAGGGCGGCGCTCCATCGCTGCTAACATGGACGATTATAGCGAGGTTGGGATGCGGGCTAAGTGATAGGCTTAGATTAATACGAACCTCAACAATGTAGACATGATAACACTGCGCTGTCCAATTTATTACCCCGAGTGTGTGGACACATTTTTTTCATAGTGCTGGCGAAATTTTTCAACACAAAATACATCTTCATCAAGTCTTTTATTGTTCACTGCAAATAGAGGATTTGGTCTACACTTCCCACACTAGTCAGCTGCATCTAGTCTGATGTTTGATGCCGAGGGACAGGGTGGGTTGTGGGACTCCCGGCGCCCTGAAAAGGGCTGCTCTGTCCTGAAAAGGACGGGGACCCATTAAAACCTCCGCGGCGTTCCGTCATCGCCCGAGTGTATCCGGCCGGTATCCGGCCGTAGCCTTAGACTTCCGGAACAAAGAAAGCCTGATGTTTGCATATCAGTGCCTAAGTCGTCTTTCACCTAAGGATCCCTCCTATGATTCTATCTAAGACAAGATTGTTGTACATTAATGACCAAAATATTTTAAAAATCTATCCCGCGACAAAATTTTTACAGCAGGCTCACGCTGATGGCAAAAAAAACAGTCTTCTATCCCATACCAAAATCGATCGATATCTACTTCAATCGTTTAAATCGATACTTGTACCACACTATAAATCTGTGCAGCTGTGTCCATTGGTGTCAGTTTATGTTCTGCTAACGGGTCGCCAAATTAATATTGTGTTTGTTGGTACTGGCTCGGCCGGCAGCCTGTAAATTAGCTGCGTGCTGCTTCTTATGAAGCTTATGCTGCTGGCGGTATTGGTGGGCTGTGGAAAGTAGGTAGTAATCGTGTGTGATTTATTATTTGAATTAACATGCACACACAATTATTTACTAGAACGCTAGAACTATAATACTTATACAAAACTTATATACTTGTACAATACACCATGATGAAGCTACAAAACTTAGTCAATAATTTTATAATAAGTTAGAAGTAGCTCCTCTAGAATTGAATATATGAATTTATTACCCAATCTGTATTAAAATATATTTTATTACTCTGGTTTAGTTACAAACTGTTTTGTGATTTAGCCGATGACATCCTCATCATAATTTCAAAGAGATATCCATTATAAGAAAACTTTTTAAGAAAACTAAGTTTATTAGCCCCAAACTTTGGTCAAAATTCAATACAATTCGATGAATAATGAGAACATTTAGGTTCTGGATCGATCCAAAAAGCTTTTTCTCTTACGTCTATAAAAAAGGAAAGTTAGCTAAAATTCAAAGACTCTAATAATGACCATTAGAGGTTTATTAAACTTTATCTACAACCACTATGGACCGTTTAAACTCGAACAAAATGGCGTAAGAAAATCAGCTCGATTACGTTCATTTCCAAACCATCATTGAGCAGAAAATTAGTTGCTCATTATCAAAGATAAATCGATTGTATTTCCCTAACACCGCCGAACTAATTTTCATTATTTATTATGTACTGACCACTATAACCACTGTAACTAAACTTAATGATCATCTAATGATTAGACTTAACGGGAACAACGGCAGGGTGTGGTAATGCAATAGCCGTAATATAATTAGATTACATTTATGGATTTAAAAATATGCTTGGAAACACCGTAAAATGAACTAGGTATAGTTCAGTTATTGCTGAAATTATGCTTTAAAGACAATAGTGTAAAGCGTAAATTAGGATAAAACTACAAAAGCTTTTCTAAATATTATTTAGTAAATAAGACATTAATTAGAAATTTTATTTACGTTGGTCTTTACGTGTGAAATCTTTTAACGAGTTCGTACTTAGTTGTGCATTTACAAAAGTTCTTAGGATGCATTAAAATAGTTTACGGTATATTATGGATGTGGCAATAAAATTATCTTTATAGTATCCGCATGCAAGGGATGGATAACTCTCTAAGGATAAAGATAATAAATATCATGCTTTTTAGGTACCTTTTATCTTAGAGTTTTTCTCTCATATACATACATGGATGGAAGGTAAATATTGCATATTAAAATATGCATTCATGCAATATTTTATTAAGTAAGTACTAATACCGTAGAAGTTGATCTATTAGCTATTAGCAACGGTTGTCAAATAATGTTATAACTTTTTACTTTCGTGGTTAATTGATTCCTCTGTTGGACCACCTAATTTTAACACTGGAATTTTCAAAAATCTTTCAAACTCCATACAAAAAGCACCGGTTATCGTTAATGTTAGGTTGTGCATGTGCAACTCAGCCTTTCGCTGGAATTTTAACGTCAACTGTTTCAGCAGAGATAGCTACTAAAATTTATAAAGCCATATCCATGTGTTCATGAATCCAGTGCACCTATTAACGCTGGTAATTACCTCACTATCTTCGGCGTATGCGTAAAATATGACGAGCGCTGCACACTGGCCCGTTTCATTAGGATAACGCGTGCGATGCCAGATAAGCAAATAACTCGGAAACTAGCCCAGCAACTTGTTGATTTTTAAACGTATTTGTGTAGGCTGGGCCGGGAAGATTTTCAATTTCGCTGTACAGATAACCGTGGTAAGCTTGTGTGGAGTTGTTTATTGATATTTTGGAATGCGAACGTTTTGATTTTGAAGACAAGACAAGATATGGATTACGTGATAAGAAGGTGATCGTAAGTTGGAGTTTTCAAGTAATTAGGGATATTTACCTTAAGAAGAAGCGCAAAAATATTTTATGA